GACTCTTGCTGTGTCTCCATGGGGAGAGGATTGACGTAAGCATAACAGACATTATACAGACTTGAGGAAAGCAGTCAGTTGGAAAGCAAAGATGTCACTGCTGAAAATAGAAAAGACAGAAAAGTTGGTTTCCTAGCAACACAGTCTAATATAGTTCACAAAATGCTTCTGAAAGCTAAAGAGGCTCTTCATGCACTACTCAATTGCCTCTGTGATTGCAGTTGTTTGGTCAGTGATATGAATGTTAATTTTGTGACTTTTCAATAAAAAATATTTGTTAAAAAATGCTAATTTTCATTCATTTTTTTTAGCAAAGCCCTTTGCTGACACGTAAACATCTTTAATGCACTTACAGTAGGAAGAGCACACGTTCAGTTATAAGTTTCCTTTATTAGTCATAAGCCATAAGAGGACACATATGTATCTTGGATAACTCATCAATACTTTAATTCAATGTTCATTTCAAAATCCTGAGCAAAATATCAAGTTAAAGAGTATTTGCTTAATTTTGGTCATAATCTGGCCAATGTGATTGTACTTCAGTGGCAATACTGCCCATGATCAAAGAGGAATATCACACTCTCACAATAGCTATAATCACTGAACAAGTCACAGAGCAGCATGCAGAAGGGGATTGTGCACGTACACATTCATACGCATGATTATGCACTGAAGCTTCTTACAGCTGTTATTACTACAGTATTTTCAAATGGCTACTTTCCTGTCACAATAGGATCCCAGAAGTGTTCCTCTTCAGGATGGCATTCGCACTGATAAAAATTTGGGTTTATAAGGGTTGCAGTCCTTTACAGATCCTAAAAAGAATCATTCACCCCTAAATAACAGGTCACTCATGTTCCCTTCACTGATGCCTCCTTTCCACTGATGCGGTGCCTAATTTAAAAGGACTGCCACACATAGAGTATTCTTGGTGCCAATAGCTAGCAGTGCACAGTAGCATAAAGTTGTTGGAGTCAAAGTTGAAATTATTTAGTGGCTATCAGAGAAATTCACATAAGTTAGGTCAGTCATGGTCTCTTTCCTGTGGAAGTTACTTCAAATGCATAAACCTGTAGACTGCTACTCAAAAGGTACCAAAGCAGAACTAGCTGCAGACCGGTACCACATCAATGGACAAGCAGTATTACAATTCTCTGTGGGCCATGTTGCATCTTACAGCTCTTTCTTGCTGCTGCGGTGTGCACAATTTACATTACATGGTTTTCTAATACAAAAACATCTGAGCTTTAAAGTGCTCCATATATACTAAATATCGTGTTTGGGGAAGGTTCGCATTTATTTTATACTTTTTGAGAAGGTTTAAAAATGTATATGCCTAGTTTTACAAAAGAAACATTACTAGAATGAATGAAGTGACCCAAGACTAGACAAGGCACCTGATGTGCCTGAGAGGAACTTCAACACACTGGAGATGAGTGAAAGGACCAGTGGATATCTCATAGCCAGTATTAGAGAGCCAGTGTATCAGATCAGTCATAAAAATCCAAATATTGGCACTTTATTTTAAACATCAAATATAATACTAATCGTCACTGGTATTTTTGAATGTACAACGCAAACGTTGAAGTTCACTTTTTTGTACAGCAGTCACTTCCTGGATGATTTCTGTTTGAGACTTAGCGACCTCATTGAGCCAAACACTTTCCTTCCCAAATCCCTCAGTGATCGGGAGCGCTGAAGGGGCAGCCGTGGAGGTGGAGAAGGAGAAAATGAAGGGGAGGAGAGAGGAGAGAGTGAATGGCAGCTGCCTTCTAGGCTCTGAGAACGAGAGAGGTTAAAGAGGCTGGCGGTTGAAGACAGCCGTTTGTCCTCCTCCTTCGCTCTCAGTAGTCTGACCCCTTCGTCTTTTCTGATTCCCGTGCCGCCATGCCCCACGTCCAAGGAGGAGACCCAGTGTGGCCGCTTTGTGGGCTCTTCGCTGTGGTTCTGAGGTACCAGCAAGCCCTGGGATTCACTCCTGAACAGAGCCCGCCTGGAAAGCTTGAGGCTTGAGCTGCGTCTCTCCCCATCATCTTTACCTCTCTTCTTTGAGAAGACAGGAGAGTTGTCTACTTTAGGCCTTTTGTCGCCGCTGCTAGAAGCTTTAACCCTTCTGTGCTCTCTTCTCCAGCTTCCCACGCTGTTCCTTCTCCAGCCATAGCCATACTCTGCCCTGTCTATCTCCTCTCTTTCACTTTCAGACTCTTTGCTCCAGAGGCGTCCCTCAAAGCCCTTCCAGAGTTTGCTAGAGGACTTTTTGTATGTGTGAGCGGCTGCTCGCGACTTCTCCTCCTCCTCACGCCAAACTGAGCTGTAGTCCTCTCTCTTTGCATAACTGCTAACTGTTGCTGCCCTGATCAGCTTATGGGAGGCGTGTTTTCCTCTGTAGAGCCCATCACCCTCCGTTCTCTTCTGCCTGCTGTTGCCCTCGCCTCCTCCACTGCTCTGCCGAAGTGATCCTCCTCTCGGTTGGATCCCGCCATGCTCAAAAGGAGAGGTCCTGGTATTGGTGCGGGGCAGGGAGCACTGGAATGGTGCATCTCGTCGGAAAACAGAGAGGGGAGTCGCACCCAGGGGGGATGGTTGGAGAGGGCGTGGAGGTGAGCGACCTCTTGGGGTAGGGCGCGAGGCAGGTGAGGAGGCTGTGGAGGAAGGAAGGTCAGGTGTCTGTTGGTAGTGGGAGTGGGAGGAGTAGTGGGAGGAGGGAATGTGCATGGATTGGTAGGGGTGTATGGGGCTGCTGGAGTGTGAGAGAGGAGGGGTGAGGCTGCACTGAGACTGTGGAGAATGAGTGACACTGAGAGACAGCTGTATTGGTCTCTGGGGATTCAAGTCTGTCAGTCGAGTATAGTCATGTGACTGATCTGTTTGAGCTGTCAGGTGAGTTTTAGTGTGGCTTCTCATCTCACCTGCAGTATCTGTTGGGAAGCAGTCAATATCTAGCTCCACGCCTTGTTCCATGAGTCCAACTACAACAGCTCGAGACAGGCCAGAGAGGCGGGAGATCTCCTCCACCATGGGCGAGTCTTCACTTAACTTTGGACTGGAGTTGGACTCCTGGATCAAGCTGCTGCGCTGAGATCCGGGAGCCGATCCTGCATTTGCGCCAAACAGTGGCTGTCCAGCCTCAGGTGGAGCACCACTGCTCCAGTCTAATGAGCGACAGAAAGCTGATGAGCCAAACCCAGAGCTGGCTCCAGACCCCAGTGGGACCTCAAGGGAGCTGCGGTGGCTCAGGCTGCTTGGACAAGTTGAAATGCGAGGACGAGGTCTCATCGCTGGGGTGGGTGTAGCAGAAGAATGTGATGAGGCAGAAGCGGTGGAATTGGCTGCAAAGTCTCTCCTCAGAGCTCCGTTTCTGGGATTGTCCACCAGCCCGTGACCAGAATTTAAACCGGGAGTCAGGTTCAAGTTGAGGTTTAGATGCAGGTTTATGTTTAAGTCTTCTCCGGTGGCTGAAGGAAGATTTCCCAGGTTGATTGAATTCCTGGTGCCCTTTTTTCCGGTGGTGCTAAGGCTGACTCTGGCTGAGTTCCCTAGCAGTGACTTAGAGGGTGTGATGTTGACGCCTGGCTGGGTGGAGGGTGTGCTGCGGCTCTCGAAGGCAGAAAGAGACTGGGTGGATCCGTGAGTTTTGCCAGGGGTGCAAAGGCCTCTGTGTGTGACTGGCCCAGGGGTGGCAGGTGAGGTGAGATCAGAGGTGGATTTTGCCCGACTGTGGTACTGGCGAGCCAGACGAGAGATGTACTGCTCCAACTGGGTGAAGGAGGGTGGAGTGGGAGGTTGCTGGGGCTGGAGAGGCAGAGCTGTGTCAGCGTTTGACTCTGTGGGTTCATCGTCCTGGGGTCCCTCAG